TCCCCGCGCTGGGTCTCGCCGGCCGCGCCACACGAGCTCTGTGTCTCCGCGCAAGGGGAGGTGCCCGCGCCCCTCCGGCCTCCGCCTGTCCCCTGCTGCTGCTTCCCTCCGCGGCTGGACTTTCCCAGAGGGAGCCGAGCCCTGGCTTCACTGCCTCAGCCTCCGCCCACGCGGGAAGAGCCGTCATCCAGCTTCTGCCGTCCTGCCGGGGCGGCGCGTCCAGGCTGCCCGGTCCCCCGTGACGCCTTCGCAGCGTCTCCTCCCATTCCTGGCCCTCACGAGCTCGCACGGGCTGCTGCTGCGCGAGTGCTTGGCGCTCTGCTCTTCGGACGTGCTGTCTTTCCGCCTTTCTGACGGTCCGCGGCCTCTCCTTTGCCGGCCCCTTCTTCACCTGCTTTCAAATGCCATCGCCGAGACGCAGACTTACCCCTCCCACAGGTCTGTGCGCTGTCTGCTGCTGGCGACCTCCGGATGTGTAGATCAAGACCCAAGCGCAGACACACACACCTACACGAGCTGATGCTTGATGTCGCCACTCAGTGTCTGTAAAGCAGCGGTCCCCAGCCTTTTTGGCATCAGGGACTGGTTTCATGGAAGACCGTCTTTCCGCTGATGGGGCGGGGCGGAGGGGTGAGGTGCGCTCAGCCCCCTGCTCACGTCCGTCTGTTTGCAGCCGCTCTCCAGCGCTAGCACCGCCGCTTGAGCTCCACCTCAGCATCGGGCATCAGCGTCTCTTCAGGAGCGCGCGACCTCGGCCCCTCGTGTGCGCAGTTCACGAGAGGGCTCGTGCTCCTGTGAGAATCTCACACCCCGGCTGATCTGACAGGAGGCGCAGCTCAGACGGTCACGCGGGCGATGGGGAGGGCTCTCAAAACAGTTGAGGCTTTGCTGGCTCACCTCCTGCTGGGTGACCTGGTTCCTAATGGGCCACCACCCAGTACTGTTGGGAACCCCTGCTGTAAAGGATCTCGAAACACCTTATACAGAGCACAAGTCTTTATTCCCACCCCCCACCCCCAGGAGCTGTGTACTTCTCCCTCCCTCTGCAAGTCTGACTCGTCTCAGTAAAAGAGCCTGGCCATGGGCTTAGTCGGCTTAGGCCAAGACCTCAGCCCTTCCCTCTCCCCCTTGGTCCCCACCCATCCCATCCATCTCCGAGCAGGATTTGGATTTGTTACCCAAGGCCTCCCTCTGGCCGTCACTCCACAGCCATGACTCTAGTCCACGTGGGCATCGTGCCTTGCCGGATTTGCCTGATGGCCTCCTAGTGCCTTCTGCCCCGGCCCCTTTCGGTCCATGCTCCCCATAGACCAGCCTTTTTAAACCTTACGTTCTTAATTCCAAGTAGCTTCCCACATGCGGAGGTGGAAACTCAGACTCCTGGCTCTCGCGCCCTTGTGTCAGCGCTTCTGTATGTTTGTCCCCTGCTGTGCTGTTCCACCATTGCTCCACCCACCACAGCCTTGCTGCGGACACAGGGTTTCATGGATAACAGCTTTTGTGTTTGCTGTTTCCACTGTGTTTCCTTCCTGCTCTGTCAACGGTTGGCTCCTCTGCAGACTTCAGATTTCACATCAAATTGCCTCTATTTAAAAGCCCTCAAACCTCAGTTACTCTGTCACGTACTGGGGTATTTCCTTCAAAGCACTTACCACTATCTGAAATTGTGTGTGTGCGTATAGTGTGTGTTGGGTTTGTATATATAGCTTTGTTCTCTTTTTTAAATTTTCAATGCCCTAGAATGTAAGCCCTAAGAGGGCAGGACTTGGCTGGGCTCAGTGCTCAGCCTGTAATCCCAGCACTTTGGGAGGCCGAGGTGAGTGGATTGCCTGAGCCTGCAGGTTCGCAACCCACCTGGGCAACTTGGTGAGACCTCATCTCTACAATGAATCAAAAAAATTAGCCGGGCGTGGTAGCGCACGCCTGTAGTTCCAGCTACTTGGAAGGCTGAGGCAGAAGGATCGCTGGAGCCCAGCAGGTTGAGGCTGCAGTGGCTGGAAGCAGCCACTGCACTCCAGTCTGAGCGACGGAGTGAGACTTCAACTCAAAAAAAAAAAAAAGAGGGCAGGACTTAGTCTGTGTCTTAGCTGTTAGAATCCTAATTTCTAGAACAATGGGTGGCACCATGGTAGACCGTAGTAAATGTATATTGTTGGATATTTGAGTGCTTTGTTGTGAATACTTCAGTTATAACAGAGTTTTCTTTTGTTTTAATTCATTAACAGAACCAGGAAATATACCCCTCTGGAATGGACCCCTGCAGTGACAACCACTCCTGGGGTTTGTTTGTGAAGAATTTACCGTTAGTATCAAATTCTTTGTTATGATCATTAATACCAAAAAGGACTTAACTCTGTGATCTTTTTATGAGAGGAAGTTTGCATCATATCAGCTCTTATATTTGCAGCCTGGTGCTCTCTCTACTAAGAATATATTTAAGAACATTTGATGTGTTGAAATTCTATTATATGAAGCCAAGCTAAAGCTTTCCTTTTCCTATATTGAGCTGTTTTTTTAATGTCTAGGAATAAGAATCCTTGCTAGAATTTTGCCAGTCCTGCACTTACTCTGTCCTAAAACATACTTAATGTGTTTAATGTGTGGAGTTTAATGTGTGGAGCTCAAACCGCAGTGAAGAGACCAGGCATTGCCATTGCTAGCCTGGGTCCCTCGGTCTTGTTCCTGTTAGCGCTGTGGACGATGAGTCTTTGTTGCCGTGGCTGTCACGTCCTGCGGGGCGTTCAGCAGTGTCCTCAGCCTCCGTGCAAAAGCGATGCTGGGGACATCCCTTCAGATGCTGCCAAGGAACCCCTGGGAGTGTGACTGCCCTTGGGTGAGAACTGCGGCCACAGACGGTTCCTGTGTGTCCCCCTCAAGGCTGTCCACTCCTCACAGTGTAACCACAGATAGGATTTCTTCTTCTTTAGATGACTTTTAATCATCAGTAGTTTTTTGTTATGGGCAAAAAGAGGTGGTACTTTACTTTTTGTTAGATTTCTAAAGTACTTGTTAACACAGCTCTTTACCTGTTACCTACATCTGTTTAATTTTTTATATCTAGAGTGGAAAATTCTCTACAGAGAATAAAGAATGAAATTACAATCAGAATGAAACTGTCTGTAACAGCATCAGAGCATAAAGAAAATTTCTTGTTTCATGAACCAAACAGAAGAACAAGATTTTTCAAAGAAATGAACAGTGTTGGCCGTGTGCAGTGGCTTATACCTGTAATCCCAGCACTTTAGGAGGCTGAGGCAGCAAGATTGCTTGAGCTTAGAAGTTCAAGTCCAGCCTAGACAACATAGTGAGACCTTAATTGTTTTTAAGTTAGTTGGGTATGATGGTGCACACCTATAATCCCAGCTACTTGGGAAGCTGAGGAGAAAGGATCACCTGAGCCCAGGAGGTCAAGACTGTAATGAGCCATAATTGTGCCACTGCACTCCAACCAACAGAGTGAGATTCTGACTCAAAAAGAGAGAGAGAGCAAAAGTGTTAAACAACTTTAGAAGAGTTGGTATTTAAGCACCCTAAAATTCTGCATTACCAACAGATCACAGCTCTGCTAATGATAAAGCAGGCTTCTAAAGAGCTGAGTAGTCAAAGTATGTTTCAAAAATGTATAAGTCGGTTCTGATTGGTTGTTTCATCAGTTACATGAAATTGAGTTGCGTGTTTTTAGGTGGGACTATCTGACGTGGTATGTTCTTCAAGTGAGAGTTGAATGTCATTCGTAACAAATCAACTTCCATGTAATCAGCATAAGTGGTCTTGGTTTCCTTTGCTACAAGACAGATGCACTGATTTGGATAGAATTATGAAATGATACCAAAGGAAAGAAAAAAACCTTATAATTTACATTAAACAAATGTACATAATTGTTAAATAAATTTCTATTTTTTATTGATATTTTCTAAGGCAAGCTCCTCTTAAAGAAACTGGCCTTCCAGGACAAAGAGAATCATTTCAAATAGAAGGTAATTCAACTACAAATCTAAAAACAGTATTAAGGTCAAGATCAGATCTTTGGGAACAAGAATCATTAAAATTTTCTAATTCCTAAAATATTCGAATTCCGTTTTCTTGCCTTTTAAAATCTGCTCGTCTGGTATTTGGCTCAAAGTGAATCTGTTTATTTTGCCCAAAATAATGAAGCATTAAAGTTTTAAAGCACTTCCTTCCTTGTGCCAAACCTGTTGTCTGAATCTGTGGCTATAACTACGTGTGTCAGACTCTGAGCTGGGCATTTTACACATGTGACCTCACTGACCCCTCACAGCACCCTGGGAATGCAGGCACATCAGTCCCGTTCACAGAGGCTCAAGGGAGTCGCGCGTCTCACGGGACGCAGCCCAGAGGGTCAGGGTGCACGTGTGACTTCCACGGAACTCAGAGCCCTGTCCTTCCCCCTGCTATTAAGTGGCTGCATCTCTGTCCTTAAATATCAGTCCTCTCTGCTTGAACTGAGCTTTAGAGAAGCGACACATCTGTGCGTGCAAAATCAGACTGACATCCTCACTTTTCCTGACATGACAGGTGCCGCTTCTTACCTGAGAAGCCTTCCGGTCCTCCACATCTGACTCGTGTTTCTCAAGACAGCCCAGCTCCCCCTCCCCACTGTCCACTGGGAGTCTGAGGTTCCATGTCTCTGAATCTGTATGTGTGGTGCATACAGACTATTCACTTGATTGAAACCAAAAATACAAAAAGCCCATGCTTGGGTTTTTTCCACTTTGTGGATATTTGCATTATACCAGTTCAGCAATTTAAAAATCTGAAATCCAAAATGAGCATTTTCTCAGAGCGTTGTGTCCGCACTCAAAAAGGTTCAGATGTGGGAACATTTTGGGTTTCGGATCCGCCGGTGAGGGACACTCAACCTGCGTAAGGTTCCTGCCCTGGCCAGATATAAGCCATCAGTTGATCACGGATGGGTAAACAGTTGGTAACCCTAAATTCCCAGGCATGTAATTCCTTACAGTCAGTGTAGGAAAACCACAGAATGACTCTTCTGTCATTCCACGTTTAACTGAATTCGAAAATTCTTGGAATTCCAGTGTCCACAAGGTAAAATTGTCCTTCTCGTTTGTGTTTTGAATTCTCAGAGCAAATAGCCGCTGTTTCCCGAGACACGCCGGGATTCGATCTTGCTTCAGGTGAAGCGACGCCTGCCGATTTCTTGCCCACAACCGTGTCTCTCCGGCGTGGCACTCGAAAGAAAGACTGCCGTCGTCTGTGCCAGTCTGAGAGCTCGGATGACTTGGAGGCCGGTCATCCGGCGGGGCAGCCTTTTGAATCAGAGAGAACTGGGTTTGTAGATCCGCCGGCGCAGGTGCCCGAAAGCGTTCCACGACGTGTGTGTGGATGGAACAAGGACCAGATTCGCTGGTCACCAGAGCGGCGTCACGCAGGAAGTTTAACTAAAACAGAAGAAGTCATGCCAGACTCCAAGTCCGGACAGACCAAAAGCAAGCCGAGGGGCGCACGAGCACGAGGAAGAGAGGCGAGAAGGAGGGCTCCCCGCAGGCGGAGGTCGAAGCCCACGTGGAGGCGTCGCCAGAACAGAAGCAAGAACAGAAGGCCTGCTCCCCGCGCACAGCGGGACGGGCCCGCGGCTCCCGGCGATGCCTACAACTTTAACTTGGAGGAGGGCGTGCACCTCACTCCTTTCCGACAGAAGCCGAGCGGCGCCTCCGACGGGGACCCAGGCGGCCGGGA